TCAAGTTAAGCACGCTTAACTTTGGAATTTTTAAGTGATAAATGCATTTTGTTTGTATAGGTAGTCCTAATCAATTTATTTATGTTATCCTCAACTGTATACACAGTCTCTGGATGGTGTAAGTTTGATTCATTCAGGTGTCCCTTACAGTTGGAAGCCTGCCAGGAGCCACTCTTTGTCCGTGTCACATTGCACCGGCGATCACTCCCCGCCTTCACGTAGCGCCTGGGTGTCACAGGCACCAACCAGATCATGTCATGCGTCAATTTGAGATGGTGTAACATATTCTTTGTGATCCATTCTAACATGATACAATACATGACATCACACTACGAGAGAATTGACATGATAAGTTTAGACACATCTTAGTATTAGGAAATGAGACTAGATTGGGTTTTGAGCAATGAGGTCTAGATTATATTATTGAGTTCTAATTCAGAGTACATGCAATGATATATCACTCATACCAAACGTTGGATGACAAAAGATGCAGTTGTATTTTCACTCTTGGTATGTATTTCTATACAAGTCCCTAATATGATTTGTAAACTATGGTAAATGTTTCAATGAGCTTTTCATTCCAGATCAAATCTTTACTTATGTTTATGCATTATAGGGAGATGTATATGAGAAGGCATACTACTTGGCTACTAATCGCCAAGAATCATTCACATTCAATGAGCTGCACGCATTATGCAAGACCATGTTGTCTCTACAGAGTGAATAGGCTCAGATCTTACAACTAGCATCATCAGTTGACCCACTTGTTCAAAGTGGACGCACAGAGGACCCACATATTGATCTTGGATGGCATGAGGGACGCAAAGAAGGCAGAGGTTTGAAATGGCGTCAGACACAAGTGCATGTTGCAACATGGTCTATCCCTTCTCTGCCAGTTAGATGAGATGGTGTGTATTATATCCCTCCTCAATTTCTATTCATCCCTTCTTTGTCTACATAGAATTCCTACTTTCACTCATCATAACCTACCACACATGGTGCGTTTCCGTTCAATAGTGGACAAGACTATGTTCTCAACTTTCATTCTTTTATGACCTTTCTTCCATACAATTTGTCGTTGTTCACAACAGGTTTGCACCAAGTCATGTTGAAGGTCAGACACCTTCAAACTCAACTCAAATCACATGTTTTTAATAAATCATATTTCATCCATTTAATAAATAATAAAACATATATCATCTAGTTCATCAACTCAAAGAATTCACTTTTATGCTTAGATTTCTAAAATAAAAAGCATGTAACCACTTACAGAAGCAAGAGTGTATACTAAATTCATATATATAAAGTGCAAAAGATATCCAAGCTTGGATTCAAGAGGAGTTTTAGGAGTAAAGGTATTTTCTAGCTGTGGAAGAGAGTGAGAGAACTGAGTGAGATAAAAACATCAAAGCATGTAATGGTTGCTTGCCTTGGAATCTAAGTTTTAAAAACATCAAAGTTACTTAAATACCTTTTTACTCGAAGATTTTTGCTTGAGCAAGATCATTCTCAGTTGAGTCGATGGCATTTTTCGCTTAAGCGAGACCACATTCTCACTTGGGCGAGAAAACCAAATAAATTTTGTTTACATATTTGCTGATATTTTTACTTGAGCGAGAACATCCTCACTTGAGCGAAATTACTTAATAAAACTCTCATTCTATTGCCTATTCTCACTTGAGCAAGAGAGCTCCTCACCTAAGAAAGAGTACAATTAAGAAATCTTTATCCACTCTCACTTGAGCGAGAGTGCTCTAGAGGCATCCTTGTCCATATAAACAATCTCGCTTGAGTGAGACATTTCTCACCTAAGCGAGAAATGTTGTAGTTTTAAAAATAAAACTTTTTCATTTTGAAAAAAAAAGCAATAAAAATTAAGGTGTTACAAAATAAACAATCAAAACAATATTAAATTAAAAATAAGAATTGCTCAAATAGGATAAATATTAGATTTTCTTAATATTGGAAAAAAATATTTGGTAACGACGCTGAAAAATTGTTCGTGAGCAAGAGTACTCGTTGAAAAATAATAAAGGAGTTCTAAAATAAGTTTCCAAAATATTGTCTCATAATGATTGTTTTCAATTACTAAGAATTTCTTAATTCGATTGTTTGAACTTAAAGGATATGAAATTAAATAAAACAAGAATTCAAATATAAAAGCAATTAAAAAGAATTAAAACAATGCAATCTTTGACAATAAACTAATCGAGAGGAACCTAGAGCGTATAGTTTCATCTCTACACTTCTTTATATTCACTTTTAGATTAACTCTAATTTTATTAGTTTCCTTATGATTGTCAATTGCTCATACTAAACCATATTAACATTCAATGGTCATACAATGTTAACAATCTCTTTCCTAAGCTATTACCCCCAATAATCATGCTAGGTAAAAGAAAGAGAAAACATAAAGAGTCTATGAGCTATTAATTTACTAATGATGAAAAAAGAAAAACTAAGTTTTGTCCACCTAATCCTTTGTCTCATTTTACCCTTATAGATCCATTAACTATATATGATACGATCGCCTACAATATACTTAATTATGATATATTTAAGAGTTGTTAATTCTAAACATACAAATATAGCACAGTAAGTGAAACACCAATCAAGAAAGAAAATAAAAATTATTATCAAGCACAAAGGTCACATACAGTTATGTAAATGAGCTATTATAGTCTTAACTATGGATTTAGTTAGACATAATATAATAGAAAACTAAAATAATAATAAAGTAATCTATAGTTATTCAAAAAGTATATGCAAACTAGAGGAGTCTCCAATAGAGAATAGACAAAAAAAACTTTTGATCCAAAGATATCTTCCCAAAGCTCTAATAGTCATTAGTGGCTAGCCAATCCTAAGATCCCCAAGTTGTAGCCCTCGAAATTCTTTAAATAGGGTTTAGAATTCACAAAATATGATGGTTGTTGCCACCAAAAGATATGCTTTATGTCTAATAAAGATATAACATATCAAGAAAGAAAAATATGATTTTTTAAATTTAAAATTCAAATTCTCTCTTTGTAGATGTGTAAAAAAATGTCTAAGTTGAATCTTCAGAAGGTAAGCACAGTCATGCTACCCATTATGCAGTCCCGTGCATGGTCCATGAAGCACCCCCATGCTTCCTCATAACCAAGGTTGTGTTGGCTACTCAGTGAGGCCCATTTCCATCCAATTTGGATTCAAAATGCACCAAAACTCAGTTGCGACACTCTTCATATCAAACTACACAATTAATATAAAAAAAATCAATATAAACTTCTAATAAAATAATTGGCATGCATGCATATATATGTTATAAAAATATACCAAAATATAGACTTATCAAAGACAAAACTTCAAAATAAAATAGATTGTGTGTTTCTTGCAAATAGTGTAGGTTTATATATTAAAAAAGATATTGTTAGTCTTTTTAGTACAAAGTCAATTATTGATGAACAATGAACTCAACTTTCATAAATAACTATCGTAAGTTTTTTTATTTTATCTTGCTACTTTACATTATATATAAGTATAATTATTATAAAACATCTAATTATTAGTTTAATATATTAATTTTTTAAAAATAATCTTTTTTATTTGGCCTTTTCAAGAAAACTATTCTACATTGTCCTTTTATGCAAAACTATTTAAATAATCCTCTAAAATTAAAAGTTTACTCATTAGTCTTTAAGATTAACAATTGTCAATTAATTTTGTTATTGTTATTAATTAGATATTAAAATTGAATAATAGAGTAATGATTTATCACGTTAAGTGACATAAAAAAGTTCATTCTAGACTAAAAAAAATGTTATTTTAAGATTTTTTTAAAAATAATTGATTTTCATCTTTAGTTTTTAAAATTTTTAAGTAGTGATATTCTTTCCACTTTTTCCTGCTTGTACTTTATTTTCTTGCATGACATCATCTTCCTTTTCTTTGACCACCATAATAATGACATTTACCGCCGAACAACTATATCAAACCTCACACAAGTTACTCCGTTTACTACAAAAAAAAGTGTGAAATGCAAATAGATTTTTTGAAATTTATATACAGATTTTGTAATTATAAACGGATTTACTCTCCCCGCCCCTTTGTTGGGTCATACACTTTTTTTCACTATTTTAGTTTTTTAGACCATGGGTCTTCCTTAAATTCAGATATGATATTAGAACTTATGTATGAGCCATTGAGCCCCTTTCCAAGAGTGTGAACGAGCAAGATTTTATTATCCAACAAACTCAAATTACATTTACATGAATGTGTTTTTGTCAATATTATAATTAGCTATTTTCTCATAGCAATTCATCTAATTTTCCTTCCTCAAAATAAAAGTTTTAACTTCAACTCATGCCATGTGGGTTGCTGTTATATTTTACTATAGTGATGTTTAAATTTTTAGTCACAATTAAAGGAAATAATGTACCATATATAGTTAATAAAATATAATTGCCATTAAGATGGCTTATGTGACATTTTAATGATACAAATGAAAGAATGTCTTGCACCGACCGTTATAGATAAAAATGTCTTCAAAGGACGGTTGATTACTTTTGCATATTCTCTCCTCTTCAAAGTTAAGCAGGGTCCCTCTTTGCTCACTCTCTTTGTCTTTTCTTTCTCTCAGTTATAACTTTATATCCACTGACATCAAACATGGACTCTATGGAAAACGCATAGTTATGGGCACTGTCTTTTGAAACTCCAAACAAATCATAAAACAGCTCACAGGAGTATTATAGTAAAAGATAGCCTCAAAAGTACGCTAACCCATTTCCTCTTTTCACATAATTCAATTGGAAATTGCTTCTTCCTGATTTGTTTTTCTATAGTTTCTCTGATTTCTAAAGGGTCTTTTTCTTGTGACAAAGGGGTATTATGGTGATCAACCTTTTATGTAATATACCATGTGTGGTTTGTTCAGATGGTGAGGATGAAAATTGATATCTTTTTTCTCGTATGATTGGATGCAGCTGGATTGGAGAATAGGGAAAGTGAATCCATTTATGAGTAGCATAAGGGCAAGGCTAAGGCCAAGACCGATGCCATTGAATATATTTCAGGACATAGATGGATTGCCTCGGATTATATTGACTGAGCCAACTGGTTCATCCGCAGAGGTTGGTTGTTTCTCTTGTACCAATTATTTGATAATTGTGTTTATGTTACGCTTTGATTTTAATGATTTAGTTACTTATCTTTTATAGCTTATGATAAGCTTCAGAAGTAGGATTTCACTTCAGAAATAGCTCGCGTTATGTTATGTAGCATATGATCCTCTAAGTCTGCATGCTCAACTCATGTTTAGTGTTAGATTAACACCTTCTGAAGCCTTTTGAGAGCACTCTTTGTTACCCCGGACTTCAATTTATAATGTTTGTCAAGCTTTAACAGTTATTTACAAACAAGATCTCAGAATCTATTTTAAGGCTGGTGATGTAGTTTCTTCAACTTTATCATTTGCTTAAAAGAACAAGATTGTGAATGAGGCTCACTACTTGCACAATATTTCCAAAAATATTATTAGTTTTTAAATAAAACCAACCATAATGATACGATATTCAAGAGGTTCATTTCCTATGATAGACGGATATATACTTCAAATTTTATAACGTACCCATATCGTATTCATACGGGATACTCGATACGTATACCATAGAATTGCTTCAGTATCAAAATTTTATTATATTAGCTTCAATTATCTTAAAGTACTCTTTTTTAATAAATTTTTCAAGAAGTAAAAGACCAACAGTAGTACAATAATGATGACAAATCTTAATAAATATCACCTATATAAAGAAATTAACATGATAAAATATAAGTAGTTTACAAAAGAAATTATACCTCATTTCAGATATTTTGCCATACCTGTATCTTAATTTTTGAAAAAATTATTGTTTTTATTTATCATGTTATATCGTATCCGTACCAATGCAACGAAGTTTACTTCACTTGATCAAGTTTTTAATTGACATATATGGTTTCAGGTGCTTCTAAATGGAGGGCAGGTTGTTTCTTGGAAGAACGAACGGAAGGAAGAGTTGCTTTTTATGAGCACCAAGGTAAGTAAATATTGTTCATTTGTATTTTCAATTTAAAAGCCAATTCAGAGCAGCACTGTTATTGTTTTAATATAATATATATGTCAAGGTGATACATAACGTATAGTGTGCTCGTTAAATTGAAGTATATACAATATTTGGTCCTGTAATAGAAATGAAAGGCATACTAATGCCGATAGTCATTTGAATGTCGAGAACAATCATTAAGAATCGTGACAATCAAAAGGAAAAAATGCTGGTCGAAACTATGTTCATGTTAGTTTAGGTGGCAAAGTACAAAGAAGGCTACTAGAGGCAACACTAAAAAAAAAAAATTAAATAATATGACTTTTAGTCTAATAAAAGAGAGGAGATAGAGACTTAAAAAACTTTAGAAAAAATTATTAAAAAAATTTAATAATAAATAATATTCTTAACAATTTAATTTTTAATTGATCTCAATAAGATGTGTGATGCATGTAGTCAAACTCACAAGGTTTTGTTATTGTTATTAAATGTTACAATTTTTTATAAAAAATTATTATTTATTGAATTTTTCTTGTGTGGACTTTTGTAAGTTAAAAAAAACAAACTATGATAGTTACTAAGTGAATCAAGGTGATACCCTAAATCCTAAAATTATTGTTATGGTAGAAAAATTATCATATATTCTTTTACTTTTGCATTGAATTTTTTGTAAGAATAAAAGGATATGATTTCCATGCATTTACCCCACACATTTGTAGTTGTCAGTTTGTCACATTCTCATGCTCGAATTCTTAACCCAACAGACTAACTGGAAACAATCCAAAGCAATCAGAGGTGGTATATCAGTTTGCTCTCCAGAGGTTAGCTTTAACATGTTGGTGGAAACATGTTTGAATTTTGTAGTTGTTTAAATTCTGCATCCTCAACTAGAATTTTTTATTTGCAGTTTGGGAATACTGGTTCACTAGAACAACATGGATCTGCAAGAAACAGATTGTGGTCATTGGATAGGGACCCTTCTCCTCTACCTCCATCAGACAATCAGTGCTCTGTTGATCTGATATTGAAGTCAACAGGAGTTGACTTAAAGACCAGACCATGTAGGTATGAGTTCAAGTTGTGTTTTCCTTTTTTCTCCATTCATTTCCATTGTGTTCCCTAAAGATGAAATATTTACTCAAGGGCTCCATTGAACTGTACAAAACTATTCAATTTTGTTCTGCTTCTGCAGTTTTGAGTTTCGGCTCATTCTGATTCCAAGAGTCAGAAACACTGATAATAAAGCACTTTCTTTTACACTGTCAATAAGCAACTATTTGTCTGTATCAGATATCAGGTATGTATTTTAGATATTGAAATTACCGTTTTTATTTTAGTTGATGTCTACAAAAGTTGCTTATCATCACTCTTGATTTCTTGCATTTTTATTGCCAAAGGTTTTCAGTTTTGCGAACTTTCACTTCTACTATTGCATCATCATGCCATGATAGTCATTTTTTGACCTTGTCATCGCTGCTATGATTCAAACAGAAGATTGAAAGATCTTACTTCATTGTGGCTTTATGATGGATTGAATAGTGTTGTTCAAAATTTGCAGTGAAGTGCGCATCGAGGGATTGGAGACACTTGATTATTTTGACAATTTGATGAACAGATCAAGGTTCACAGAGCAGGCAGATGCAGTTACTTTTGATGGCCATGTATAAATTCATAAGTGATAAGCTTAACATTTCTAAATAATTATCTATCATTTTCTTAATATATTTCACATGTTTGCACTGTAGATTGATACCAATCATATAGCTTTCAAACTAAGGACAATTTTGGTTGCCTTGTAGATGGACAGGGTGTACTTGTGCACCCCAACAAAGATTGCTATCATAGACCATGAGAAAAAAAGAACTTTTGTACTGCAGAAGAATGCAATGCCAGATGCAGGTTGTTAACACTTTGGATAAAATATCCTCCGTTATATTCTTCCTATTCATCATTCATATTGTGTATTTTTGCTTGGGGGTCTAGTTATTCAGTAAAATTATTCCAAATCACGGTAAAGTTGCATTTGAAATGATGGTAGAGTGAATTGATAACACTTTTTAACGAGAAAAACATTTTTAATTCCTTAACAAATGCACCGAGGGCCCACTGATTAGCATTTTCTTTTCATTTTATTTTACTAGTATTTCCATCACTTATTCACTTGTGATGGGAATGCAGGGGTATGGAATCCAGGGTATAGGAAGGTGAAGGCTCTACCTGATATGGGGAATGATGATTACAAGTTCATGATATGTGTGAATTCTGCAGCTATTGAAAACCCAATTGTCTTGAAGCCCTATGAAGAGTGGAAGGGCTATCAAGAGCTCTCTACTGTTTCATCAAGCTATTGCAGTGGACAATTGGATCCTCGAAAAGTTCTTTAAGGATTTCACTCATCACCTCAATGGAGCCAGTGAACATTTATAACCAAATGGACTTAAATCACCAAATTAGATATACAGAGTAAGTGCACTTGTGCAAGTATACCATGTGAGGTCGTAATAAAAAGTAAGAGCAAGATTAACATTCATTAAGCTGCCACTATCTAATAATTCAGAGACGCTTCTGTCTTCATATTTATGTCAACTAAATAATTTCCTTCTTGTCGCTGCAACTATTACTGTAAATCCATTGGATTGGATGTCAAATATAGCTTTGCAATTTTGTAATATATTGTTTGAAAGGAACAGGCATTGGCAACCAAATTAAGATTCATTGGTAGCACATTTATTGAACAGAGTAAAGATAATGTTTTAATTTCCTAGAAAAGTTATGTAGGCTGACTACAATGTCCGTTTTTAAAATGTTTTATAATTATGAAAGGAGGACTCTTTTAGAGGGAAAACACTCCTATGACCTCAAATATAAGATATTCGCTTATTGAAGAAAACTCAAATGTTTACAACAAAGCCTAAAATGTCTTTGTTTTATAATCTATAGTAAAGGTCTATTTATAAAACCAATAAAGCCTATTCTTATTCTAAGCTGGAATAAAATCATACAAAATATAATAAATTCTTTAACTAATAAGTAATTTCAAAAAAATGTTAATTATGAAAATAAACTTTGAGTAAAATAATAAAAATGTCTTAATTATATTTTACTCTCTATAAATGTTGATCATTTTGTTATAAGTTTTTAAATTTTATTATTAGAAATTAGTCTCTGAAAAGTTATAATTTAGTCACTAATTCATATAGCATTTCACATCATTTAAATTTATAATATTTTATTATTTAAAATTAATATTTACAAATAAATTATTAAACACATTTTTTATATTTGTAAAATGGACCTTTGTAACATTCTATTTGTAATTTCTAAAAATAGATAATAATTTGTTACGAAATGAAGGGATAAACGAATTTTATTTAAATTGTGTAATATAAATATGAGAGAAAGTTAAAACTTTTTCTCAGTTAGACATACATTCACAAAATTACACAAAGTGTGCAAATACCAAATCTAAGTTATATGCGAAAGTATACCTTTTACATCTTGGATTTAAAATACCTAATTACAAAATCAAAATTAGCAAAGTTTTAAGAGTAGTTCTGATTCATGACCAAAATACCGAGAGTCTATTAGCTAAGTCAAAATAACTCATCTTATACATATTTTGCATCATTTGAAATTGAATAGAGCCTTCATAATCCCAACTAGAAAATTTCTTTTCAACAACTAGAGTGGTGAGAAATTTTAATGTGAGCTCTCTATATGTAGGCTCAGTAATAGAAAACTGATTTTTCTAATGCCCCACTCCTACCAATTTCCTCACTTCCTTAAATAGATTATAGTGATGCAAAACATCCTAGTCAATAAATTTGCTTTGACATCAAACCCAATTTTTTAGTTTATCATACCTAGTGCGGTGAGTAGGGGCGTTGAAGGTAAGTAGCTGGGATAAGGGAGGTTGTGGAGAAGGTTCATGTTGGGGACAAGGATGCTTCCTCACTGGTTCCTTGCCTTTTATGGGCGCTCTTGATAAAGACCTATCTGCCATGATGGATGTAGAAAACAGAGAATGAAGAGTGTAGAAGATAGGGTTCAGAAATGGGTGAGTGGAGAGAAAGAGAGGTAGAGCATGGGGCTGAGAATGGGTGGAAAACTGGAGGTGAGACTTTAGGAAAGGTAACCCAAAAATAGGAAAGGGAGTTGGGGTTTCGAGGGTGGGTATGTAGAGAGATGGAGATGGCTTATATAATTAGGATTCTGAGAATGACAAAGGTGAAAAAGGGAAATTGGGGAGTTTAATAAGGGTCTAAGAAAAGGGATAGCACAGCGTATGATAGAAAAAGGGAAGAAAACATTTAAACTTCGTCACAAAAGGATACACAGTCATGTATCTGGACGTGTAAATCACTGCCTAGAAAATTAAAAAAACAAAAACAAAAGACTCACCTAGACGTTTACACGGTTGAGTACACGGCTATGTACATGGTCGTATACATCTCTGCCTAACAATATCAAAAGGAAAGTAAAAGTACATGGTCGTATATTTGGCTGTGTACATCACTGCCTAACAGAATTAACGTGAAAATAAAAGTACACAGCTGTGTATATCACTGCTCTCTCTTTTCTTTTTTTTTTATAAAAAAATATAAATAATTGAGCAAATAAATGACTAACTTAAAATAAACTAAACCTACCTAACCTAAACTATGTGATGTAATTCAAAATTCAACATGGAGGAGTTTAAAGTCCTCATTTGCAAAAGTTTAAAGTTGATCTCGTGGTACAGTTTCAGTCTATGTCCATTCACCTTAAAATTTTCTTTTTCTGGATGAGTTAATTCAATTGTACCATAAGGAAATACCTCATGCATAGTGAACGCCCTAGACTAACGGGATTTGAGTTTACCTGGGAATAATTTGAAGCGAGAGTTGTACAACAGTACTAAATCACCTTTTTGAAATAGTTTACCTTCCTTAATTATTTTTATCATGGTAGACCTCCATCCTTTCTTTGTAGATCATGGAGTTTTCATAGGCTTCAATGCATCATTCTTCCAATTCATTCAATTACATCATCTGCTTGTTGCCTGCATGATCAAGATCCATATTCAGGGATTTGATTGCCCAAAAACGCCTTATGTTCTAATTCAACTGGGAGATGACAGGTTTTACCAAACACAAGCCTATATGGTGTAGTGCCTATGGGAGTTTTAAAAGTTGTCCTGATGAAGCATTATCCAACTTATCAGTCCAATCCTTCATATTCTTCCCTACTATTTTTTCCAACACTCTTTTTAGCTCCTTATTAGTTACTTCAACTTGGCTACTCGTTTGTGGGTGATATAGGGTAGCAATTCTATGGGTAACTTCATATTTATTCAAAACTTTTTCAAGTTATGTATTGTAAAAATGTGTACCCCTATCACTAATTAAAACTCTTGGTGTGCCAAATCGTGAAAACAACTTTTTAAGAAACCTAGTGACTACCCTTGCATCATTAGTAGGTAAAGCTTATGCCTCTACCTATATGGACAAATAATCAATAGCAACTAAAATGTATTTATACCCTTTTGAATTAGGAAAAGGTACCATAAAATCTATTCTCCAAACATAAAAAATTTCATAAGTTAGGATGTAATTTTGAGGCATTTCATTTCTTTAAGAAATATTGCCTAACCTTTGCAATTATCATATAACTCAATATACCTATGAGCATCCTTAAAAATAGAAGGCCAATAAATTCTAAATTCTAGCATCTTTTTAGTTGTCCTATTCCCAGAATTATGTCCTCCAGCAGGGCCAGTATGACAGTGTCCTAAAATTTTCCATCCTTCAGAGTGTGACACACCTTCTAATAACCTGGTTTGCACAAATTTGAAACAGATATGGGTCCTCCCAAAAGTAGTATTTCAAATCAGAAAAAAAAAATTCTTTTGTTGATATGAAAACTCTTGTCGTAAAACCTTAGCAACCAAATAGTTAGCAAAATCTGCAAACCATAGTAAATAAAAATCAGAAGCAGTTACCACATTATATAGGTGTTTTTTTTTTTGGAAAGTTGTCATTAATGTTCTTTTCATCTAGTTCTTCCATATTAGGATTTTCCAACCTTGACAAATGATCAGCAGCCAAATTTTCTGAACCTTTTTATCCTTGATTTCCAAGTCAAATTCCTGTAGCAACAAGACCCACCTCATTAGTCTAGGCTTTGCATTAGTTTTGGTTAGCAAATAATGTAATGCAGAATGATCACTATACACTATAACTTTAGAAAGAATTAAATATTGGCAAAATTTATCAAACGCAAACACCACAGCCAATAATTCTTTCTCAGTTGTAGTGTAGTTCTCTTGAGCACTTGTTAGGGTTTTGTTGGCATAATAAATGGGCTAAAAATGCTTGTCTTTTCTCTAGCCAAGTACAGCTCCCACAGCATAGTCTCTTGCATCGCATATCAATTCAAATGGATAGTTCCAATCAGGACCACACAAAATAGGAGCTTGGGTTAGTTTTCCTTTTAGTAGCTCAAAAGCGATCAAACACTCCTCATAAAAAACAAAGGAATTTTCCTTCTTCCAAAGTCTGATAAGAGGTTTGGTGATCTTGAAAAAATTCTTGATAAATCTCCTGTAGAATCCCGCATGGCCTAAGAAGCTCTAAACTGCCTTAATAGAAGTAGGAGGCGATAGCTTCTCGATTGTGTCAATCTTTGCCTTATCTACCTCGATTCCCTTACAGAAAATTTTATGACCAAGTACAATGCCCTCTTTCACCATAAAATAACACTTCTCCCAATTAAGCACCAAATTGGTTTCTTCACATCTTTGAAGCACCCTTGACAAATTCTTTAAACAATGAGAGAATGAGTCACCAAAGACTAAGAAATCATCTATGAATATCTCCATTATACCCTCTACTATCTCATAAAAAATAGCCATCATACACCGTTGAAAAGTTATCAGTGTATTGCACAATCCGAATGGCATCCAGCAGTAAGCAAATATTCCATATGGGCATGTGAATGTAGTTTTCTCTTGATCTTCTGGTGCTATTGGAATTTGGAAATATCCTGAGAGCCCATCTAAGAAATAGTAAAATATATGGCCCAAAAGACACTCTAGCATTTGGTCAATGAATGGGAGAGGAAAATGGTCCTTCCTTATTGCATCGTTTAATTTCCATTAGTCAATACAAACCCTCCATCTAGTGATAGTCCTAGTAGGCACCAAGTTATTTTTCTCATTGGGCACTATAGTCATTCCTCCTTTCTTAGAAATGACTTGCACCAAACTTACCCATGGATTATCCGAGATGGGATATATCATTCTGGCATCAAGTAGCTTAATCACTTCAGCCTTCACCACCTCTTTCATATTTAGGTTTAACCTTCTTTGTGGTTGCACTACAGCCTTGAAATTAGACTCCATCAATATCTTATGAGTGCAAAAGGAAGGACTAATCCCTCTTATGTTAGAGATCTTCCATGCTATTGCTTTCTTGTGTTCCCAAAGTACATTCAACAACTAGGCTTTTGTTCTTGTGTTGACTAGTAACTTGTAACCATCTTCCAAAAAGGCATACTCCAGGTGTTCAGGTAGGACCTTTAATTCTACATCTGGTGGTTCATTAATAGATGGGTTGGATTGCTTCTCTAATTTTCACTCCAAAACTTCAAAGTCCCTTTTTTACAATAATGGCTTAGTGGCTTCTAAATGACACCAATGTTCTTAAGTTAGCAAGCTCATATCATCTCTTCCTCCATCATGAACTAAGCTTCTTTCCAATGGGTCTGAAATCAAGAATTATTGTGCATAATCAGAAAACAATCATCAATCACATTAATGAAGTAGTAAAAATCATCTTGTTTCAAAGACTTTATCAATTATAGCCTTTATAGTAGCTAAAAATGGACAACCTAAGATCAAGACGACTTCAGTGTCCTCGTCCATATCAAGAATCACAAAATCAACAAGAAAAATAAATTTATCCACTTTTACAAGCACATCTTCAATGATACCGCTAGGATATTTAACTGACCTATCAGCTAGTTGAATACTCATCCTAGTTGGCCTAGGCTTCCCCAAACCCAATTTCTTAAAGATAGAATATGGCGTCAAATTAATATGAACACCTAAATCAGCCAAAGTCCTATCAACTATCGATCTACCAATGAGACAAAGAAGAGTAAAACTACCTAAATCCTTCAATTTCTTGGGCATCTTGTTTTACAAAATTGCTGAACATTCTTCATTTAGAGTTACTGTAGCCAACTTCTCCAACTTCATTTTGTTGCACAATAAATCTTTTAGAAATTTAGCGTACTTGGGCATTTGTGCCAAAGCATCAACAAACGGTAAATTAATATGAAGTTGACGAAATAAGGAACAAAATTTATCAAATTGTTCATCATCCTTGTCTTTCTTCAATCTTATTGGGTAGGGAAGTGAAAGTATGAATTCCTTCATTGTAGGGGGCTTTTCCACAGTCTTTTTTTTACATTTATCCGCCTCTTCAACTATAGATTTTTTTGTTTCTTGCTTCCCCTTCTCTTGTAATGTCTTGCCACTCTTTAATGTTACTGCCTTGACCTGCTCCTTAGGATTAGTCTTAGTATTGCCAGACAAGCTTCCTTGGGGTCTTTCTAAGAGGAGTCTAGAAATTTGAGCCAACTAATTTTCTAGATTATGGATAGAGGCTTGTTGATTTCTTAGTTTAATCTCAATGGATTGAAACTGAGATTCTGAAGTTTGAATGAATTTAGATTAACTCCTCAAGATTTGATTTCTTTTCAGCTAGGGGTGGTGGTGGATGTGAAGTTTGTTAAAATCCTGGAGGTGTGTTATTTCACATTGGCTGTTGGTTGTTGTTCCATGGTGGGTTTGCATAATTCCTCCAACCTGGATTGTTCATGCCGTTATAAGTTTGGTAAGGTGGTCTATTTCCTATCACATTGGCATGCTTTTCTTGAGTAGCTTAACACTCATGATTAGGGTGACATCCTTCACAAATATCACATCTCATCACCGAAGCAACTGGATGGTTAATAGATAGACTATCAATCTTCTTTCCTAAGGCTTCAACTTACCTTGCTAAGGATGTTACAGCATCAAGACTATAAATCCCAACAGATTTCGCAGGTTTGGATTGAGTGGAGCTCCACTGATAGTTGTTCAGTGCCATTTCTTCAAACAGTTCTTGTTTAGCCTTTGGTGTCTTGCTATTTAAAGTTCCTCCAGCTACAACATCTATCATTTGTCTTGTGGCTGGGTTCAATCCATTATAGAAGGTTTGTACTTGAAGCCAATTAGGGATCCCATGATGTGGTTACTTCCTTAACAATTCCTTAAACATCTCCCATGTATCATATAAAGTCTCTGACTCCATTTGACAGAAGAAAGAGATATCATTCCTCATCTTGGCAGCTTTTGCAGGAGGGAAATACTTTGCTAAGAACTTTTCTACCATGGCCTCCCATGAAGTCATAGATCCTCGTGGGAGAGAGTTTAACCACTGTTTTGCTCTACCCATGAGAAAAAATGGAAATAGCCTCAAGTGGATTGCATCATCAATAGCTCAATTAATCTTAAAAGTATCACAGATCTCCAAAACATTAGCGATGTGAGCATTGGGATCCTCATCTTGTAGCCCATCAGATTGAATAAACTGTTGAATCATATGAATAACACTGGGCTTTATTTCAAAATTCCCTTGCACATCCAGATGGACAATGCTAGATTTTGTTCCAATTAATGATGGACGAGCATAATCGAACATGGTCCTTACTTGATCTTCATTGTTTGCAATTTGTTCCATGTGATTTTGTGTGTTTTTCCTCTGTACTAGTAGTCGCCTCTCTTTCCGAATTTTTCGCAAGGTTCTTTCTATTTCTGGGTCAAGTTCAAATAGTGCAACAGAACTGGTTCTGGTCATGCACCAGAAAAATCAGCTCCTAAAGAAAATGAAAGCCAAATAGAAAAGTTAATTAAAGACTAAAGAAATAAAAAAAATTAGTAAAGACGTAATCAACGAAATCTTAATCAATCAGTCCCCAGCAACGACACCAAAAATGATGTATAAAAATCGATTATTGGGCAAGTGCACCCATTGTTAGAGTAATATTACCCAAAAAAGAAAAGAGTAGAGTACCAAGTGTTGTATCCACAGTGGTTTAGTGTGTTTTCCCTCTGTACTAGCAGTCGCCTCTCTTTCCAAATTTTTCGTAGGGTTCTTTCTATTCCTGGGTCAAGTTCAAATAATGCAATAGAACTGGTTCTAGTCATGCACCAGAAAAATCAGCTCCTAAAAAAATGAAAGCAAAATAGAAAAGTTAATTGAAGACTAAAGAAATAAAGAAAATTAGTAAAAACGTAATCAACGAAATCTTAATCAATCAGTCCCCAACAAAAGCGTCAAAAACTTGATGTATAAAAATCTATTATTGAGCAAGAACACCTATTGTTAGAGTAATATTTCCAAAAAAAAAAAAGTAGAGTATCAAGTGTTGTATCCACAGAGACTATTACTAAGATTTACTTCCTTGATTACCTCATTGTTAACAACTATAAGCAAAGAAATTATGTTAATAAATTTTTTTGAACTAAAAAGAATAACAATTAAAAAGAAACATATTTCTATGATAATAAAATCTAGAAAAATATGACTAAGTGTATTCAGGAGAAATAAGTGAGTATCTGGGTTGTAAATCCTCATAAGTGTCTAAATAACTGAAACTCTCCATCAACTACTTAGTTCTAATCCCTTGTTGGTGCAGGAACTCCTAAAATAAACTAATACATTTCTCAAGGATAATGGTTCCTAACCTTCAATTGAACAATCAGAATCTCTTCCTTAATTAGTTCCCCTAGATTGCATTAAGTTCATTATGAATTCTATGATTAGGGTTATTCCTAATACAAAAAACTTATGTCTTTCTATCTCTAGAAATGCATTCAAGTCCTTTTAATTGAGTAATAGTAATTTCATGCAGGATTTTTACTCAAAATCAAACAAGAAGATAAAATAGGAGATAACTGAATCATCAACCAACAATTAATACTACTCAATTAAGCTCAAAAGAAGAGAAGCAGCATTAAGAAGAATTCCAGAAGGATTGGTCATATAGGATTCATTACATCTAGATACTCAAAGGAAAATTAGAACCTAAACATGTAGAAACTATAATTACAAAAGAAAGAAATTAGAGAGCTTGATTGCATTCTCTCCGCCGTCATTAATTCTTTTCTTTTCCAAAAAAAGCGTCCCCTAGGTTTCTATGCCAAGTGTCCTTTTATAGGAGTAGTCTAAGGGCTTATTTTCTCGCAAAAGTTCAATTCTGACGTACATTAAAAGTACACGCCCAATGTACATGGCCATGTACTTTGATCATATACATCTCCGGTTTCTAATATTTGCCCTTCACAGCTTTTCTGAAAAGTACATGCCCATATATACGATCATTTACTTTGACCGAATCTCTGGTTTTGATGATGTGATTCAATTGACACGACCAGTAAGATACACATTTATATATACGGACGTGTACTTGTCTGTGTATATCTCTAGTTCTTCTCTTGCTTCAATTCTCAATATCTTTTAAGCTCTCACTTCTTGATCATTCTTCCTAAAATATGAATAAAATTGTACTTAATAACAATTTCTCTCAACGAATAACTCAAAATCTCAATTATCATTAATGAATTACATTATAGGATTAAGTATAGAAGGTATTTATGACAAACTATATTAATTATTTTTAAAATAGAAAACAAATACATAAAAGAATTAATAAATTTATTATTTTAATTTTATGACCACACATAAATTTGTTATGCTTAATTAGTTATTTAATAAAATTAATTTTTTATAATATTAATTCTATTAAGTTATCAAACAATATGTAATAATTTAATCACTTTAAAAAACTCAATTCTATATTTTTTATTTATTTTTATTTTTATCGACAACTAGACTTCTAAATTAAGAATATATATTGCATTATTAATTTTTATTTACAATATTTTTATACAATAATTTTATTTATGTAAAACAAATAATATATTTTTATTTTTAAGTATTAACATATAGTTTTATATAAATTTATATTGAAATTATATTTTTAAAATTTCATAAATTAGTTAAATAAATATAATTTTATTTTTGTATATATTAGTCAGATGAGTTAATTTTAGAAAAGTATTATATCATTATTTTTATAATGATATCATAAAAATTTTATTAGTAATTTTAAATTATAATTATAAATAAATAATTTATTATATAAATTTAGATTAATAAATATAAACAAATGCATAAGTCAAAATCTATAGAGTATTTTATTTAAACTTTATAGTTTATTAAAAAAAATTTGTTATATTTAATAAGTCATTATTATAATTATAAATTTTATGTTATTTAAAATTAATTTTATAATTTTATCATAAATATTTTTTTAATCTATCAAATTTCTAAATTGATATAATTAACTCTAAAAAAAATACTAAATTATACACATTTTAATTTTAAAGTATTGTCTAATATTATGATATTTTTTTAAATAAATTTGTTTATATAACAATAAAAAAATATTTTTAATTTGCATACATTATTATATATTTTTTTTTATGTATTTATGCTTAAATTATTATTATTATCATTTTTAATAAAATTATGATCGTAATAAAAAAAAATTCTTTATTTATGCTTTACTTAATCAACATGTTTTTTTTAGTCTAGCATTTTAATTTTATTTATTTTTATCTATTAATAAATAACTAAAATTAAAAAATATTAAAAATATGTATTATATTATTATCAATTTATTATTTATCACAAATTTGTAAATTAATTTATTGTTTGTAATCATAAAAAAAAAATATACTTTTTAAGTAGTAAATAAAATATTTATTAATGTTATCATTAATTTTTAAAAAAAATTAGAAAATTTTTAAGTATGTTGATATTTATTTATTTATCTTTTAAATTTTTTTATAATTATTACTATATGAAATTTAATTATTATATTTTATTTTAAAATAACTAATTATATATATATATATATTAAAAATTCACTTATTTATTTATTGGTAATTTTTTAAAATTCAACATATTTAATATAATAATTTTTTTTACTATATTTATTTATATTTATATTTAAATTATATATTTTTATTTTAAAATAAATTTATTTAATAAAAATAAAACAAATTTATGCAACGCACACACATATTTATTTACTAATGTTATTAAGAATTTTTTTATTAAATCTATTAGTCTTTATAGTATGAATATTACCGATAAAATTATGTTAATTAGTTAGATATTTGGTATGAACTCATGTTCTTTGAGTTTCTTAAGACTTGTTCTTTTCTTTCATTAGCTCATCGTTTAATTATTTTTTATTTAATTATTGACAATTTGATTTTCCTTTCAAGTCGAGGGAATCGTGCAAATATTATTAAAGATAGGATTATAATTTGTTCAAAATTTGGTCATTTTGCCTTCACATAAAAGTTATTTTTGAGAAATTTTTAACTTAAACTTTAGACTTGCTTAGGGTTTAAAATTATAATTTTCTATTTTTATTTTTTAAATAAAATAAATATTTTACATCATACGTCAGTAAAGAGTATTTTGGTTATTTTATATTTTATAATAACATTTTAAGGTTTAATAAATATTTTACATACCATAATATTATATTTATATTAATATTATTTAATTTAAAATATATACGATAAAGTTTACCGTAGTTTTAGTTTTATTATTTAATAAATTTTACAATTTACCTAATTATAATATTAAAATTAGTATTAAACAGAATTTTATTGTTATCTGGTTTTAAAATTTCAGGCTCACGGAGAAAAAAAAAAAATTAAACCCATCGGTGGGATAACGGTAGTAAGAATATGCAACTAAAGAAGAAAAGAACCCTAGCATTGTTACTTCATTGTCGTCAGTTTTGTGGGAACAGAGGAAAGAAGAAGAGTTTGGTTCAGATTTAAAGTCTGAATTGTAGCAATGACTAAGAGCAAGGTTGAGAGCAAGAAACGAACGAGGCAAAGGAATGGTGTACGAAACAAAACGAACAAAGAGGAGGAGCCACGCCTTATTCTTTCAGCTTCTGCTACCGGCACAAAGTCGAAGGAATCCTCTTCCTTTCTCGAAAAGGCACACTTCCCCAAATTCAACATTTTTATTAATTAATTATGTTAACTTTGATTTGAGTTTTCATCAAAACGTTGTCTTTCTTTTAGATGCGAGCGAGGTTGTCTGGTGGGCATTTCAGGATGATTAACGAGAAGCTCTACACTTGCACGTATGTTATCTACTATTCATTCACTGCTCTAATTCCTGTTCTTCCTAGTTAAACACCCTTTTTTTAAGAATGGTTTAAACTTAAATGATCCACTCCAGTCACCTGATTTCTTAAATGTCCTACGCTGATTTTTTTTATGCTGTGTGTGTTTCTTTTTCATGTTGACTAGAGATAATGATTTGTGTCTTCCCTTGCAGTGGAAAGGAGGCGCTAAATTATTTCCGGGATGAACCATCCCTATTTAACTTGGTAAGGGATTTTAGTTCACAATATTTTAAAAAATATTTATATATAGTTTTATCATTTATTGTGTGATTGAACTAAGATTGGTTCCTCCTTTGAAGCTTGCTTCAATTCTTCTGATGTATTAGTGCATTAATAGCTTGGAGATGTAATAATGGTTTGAATAGCTCATTCTTATTGTCCATCTCAATTTGTTTTTCATTTGTTTGGCTAGTATCATGCAGGATACAAAAGCCAGATGTCAAATTGGCCCGAACAGCCAGTTAATGTAATTATTAAGTGGCTGAAAAAACAGAGTCCTTCTTTTGTAGTTGCTGATTTTGGTTGTGGTGAGAATCGAATTTTTTCTTTTTATTAATTATAACTTTTACCAGACATACATGTTCTTTTTGTTCACTGCTATGGTTTCATGTTTGTTACTATCTAGGGGAAGCACTCATTGCTAAAAGTGTGAAGAATACAGTGTTCTCTTTGGATCTTGTGTCCAATGATCCAGAAGTAATTGCTTGTGATATGGCAAATGTAAGTTCTTCTGTGTGTAAGGCTAGTAGTAGTACACATTGTAAAGTTCCCCTATGCACATTGAACAGTAGTAATATTTTTTGCTACCTCACATCACAATTATGTAGAAAGCAAAGCAATATTCCTTCTTTTGATGTTTATTTCTTAAGTGTGTATTATTTGAGAAATCAAAATTAGATGGTCACCAATTTTTCAGAATACAAAGATTAAAATAGGCTGTTTCTGTTATTATTGCTAATATACTACAGAACCAATACAACTGGTTAGGCTCGAGGTTTGCATCTTTAATTTCTTCTAGTCAAATAATGGGGCTACCTGAGATGCAGTTCTTTTGGGATATTTGCACCTTAGAGGAGAGCTAGCAACACACACACACACTTTCCAACACATTCTTTGAAATACACTCTCGATTATTAGTTAAAATTTAGTGGAAAATACAAAAGTTTGAGTGAGAATCATTAAATTAGGAGTGAGACCCACATTGTTATGTTTCTTGATAAGGATCATAGAATTTATAATTCTCACATGCACGTTGAAATAGCAAGAGATACTAACCTTTTTTCATGAAATCTGATGAGAGTAATTCTTTAATCTCCTTTCTCAATCTATCTCTTTGCCCTTTCGTTTCTGTTCTTTCTCACGTTCGATGGTTAACGGTGAGTTCCTTGAGATTTTTTTTAGCAGAGATAGAACCCTTATTCTATTAGATCCACTTCCATCAAGTTGGTTTCTTTCAGTTGTAACTTCCCATAATAATAACCAATTACCAATAGGCCCTTTTATCCATAATTATATTTCACATGAGTCACACTAATTAATTTATTAATTTATTTATCAATTTATTAATTTATTTATTTTTCCAACATTCTCCCACTTGACTCATGTGATGCCATAACATTTCATGATTTAACAATTACATAAATCATGATGCGCATTAAAACTTTAAATAAATTGGTTCCGTCATTAATCATAATTAAAGATACAGAAATAATAAGAGTCATGGTGGTTACATGTCATTCAATCAACATATTCCCTTTCATGTACTACTATATTACCCTTCTCCTTAACATGACTTTAAACTGAGAAGTCCATAATGGGTTCAAACATAAAGTCATTTTCATTAACAATAACATAATTAGTTTTCCACATCATAATTTGCATGTATGTATATAAAGTAGAAAACATAAATTTCAGAAACTTGTACATTAATGAGCTCAGTGTCAAATAGGCATTAAAGACAACATTAACATTTAACATTCACTAGTAGACATAATGCCCATATTCTCTACATGGCCAGTAAACACTTTGGGCGGTAACCTTTTTGTTAAAGGGTCAGCAATCATGAGATCAGTGCTAATATGTTCTATTGACACTCTATGTTTCTGAACTTCTTCTTTAACGGCAAAGTATTTCAATTCCATATACTTAGCACCTTTGGAATACTTGTCATTTTTAGAAAAGAAGACAGCTGCGGAATTATCACAATAAATTTTCAGCAGCTTGGCAATATTGTCAACTACTCCAAGTCCTGAAATAAAATTCCGCAACCAGTTGGCCTGAACTATGGCCTAAAAGCATGCCACAAACTCAGCCTCCATGGTAGATGCAGCAATGACTGACTGCTTCGCACTCTTCCATGAAATTGCTCCTCCGGCTAAAAGATACACATAACCAAATGTAGACTTTCTTGTATCTATACAACCAGCAAAATCTGAATCTGCATATCCAATCACCTCAAGGTGATCAGATCTCCTATAAGTAAGCATGTGATTCTTTGTTCCTTGCAAGTATCTTAATACTTTCTTTGCAGCTTTCCAATGATCTAGTCCTGGATTACTCTGGTATCTACCAAGCATACCAACTGCAAAGCTAATATCTGGCCTCGTACAAGTTTGAGCATACATCAAACTCCTAACAACAGATGCATAAGGGATATTTTCCATCTGTTTCCGTTCCAATTCATTCTTTGAACATTGTATGAGACTAAATTTGTCTCCTTTTTGTATTGGAACGGGAGATGCTGAACATTTATCCATTCTGAATCTCTCTAAAACTTTGTCAATATATGCTTTCTGAGACAAGCCCAACATTCCTTGTGATCTGTCACGGAATATTTCTATTCCTATCACATAGTCCGCCTCACCCATATCTTTCATTTCAAAGTTGTTAGAGAGAAACTTCTTAGTCTCACTTAATAGACCAAGATCATTAGTTGCAAGCAAGATGTCATCAACATATAGAATCAGAAATATAAACTTGCTCCCACTGACCTTCAGATATATACACCGATCAACAGTGTTTTCCTTAAATCTAAAAGACATAATAGTATCATTGAACTTAAGATACCATTGCCGGGAGGCTTGTTTAAGTCCGTATATTGATTTCTTAAGTTTACACACCATGTGTTCCTTTCTTTCAATGAACCCCACTGGTTGGTCCATATAAACATCCTCTTCTAAATTCCCATTCAGAAAGGCAGTTTTAACATCCATTTGGTGTAACTCCAGATCATAATGAGCTACTAGCGCCATGATAATTCTGAAAGAATCTTTCTTAGAAACTGGAAAAAATGTTTCCTTATAGTCAATGCCATCTTTTTGAGTAAAAACTTTGGCAACAAGTCGAGCCTTGTAACGTTCGATATTGCCATGAGAGTCACGTTTAGTCTTAAAGACCCATTTACACCCAACTCTCCTACTTCCTTCTGGCAATTCCACAAGGTCCCAAACACCATTTTGTGCCATTGATTTAAGCTCATCTTTCATGGCATCTAACCACTTATTAGAATTATCATCATTAATGGCTTCTGAAAATGAAACTGGATCATTATCAATGCCTAAGTCATTTTCTGACTCTTGTAGATAAACCACGTAATCATTTGAGATGGCAGATTTTCTTTCTCTCTGCGATCTTCTTAATGTTATTTCTTGTGGTTGTTCTACTACAAGTTCATTGTTAACCTCAGGATCATTAATTTGTTGTTCTTCTTGATTGTTATGTGGTTCAACAACATGAGGAACAACAGTTCTTGAAGTAGAAGCACTAGTTAAAGGAACTTGTACTCTAATTTCCTTAATCTCCACATTTTGTGAAGCTTCACTCCCACTGGTTTCACCATTTTCAATGAACCGGACATTTCCTGTTTCCACAATTCTTGTACTATGGATAGGACAGTAAAACATATACCCTTTTGATTTTTCTGGATAACCAATGAAATATCCACTAATTGTTCTTGCATTTAGTTTCTTTTCTTGCGGATTGTATATTCTAACCTCTGCTTGGCAACCCCAAACATGCAGGTGCGTCAAACTAGGTTTCTTACCTGTCCACAGCTCAAAAGGTATCTTTTGAACTGCCTTACTAGGAGCCCTGTTTAACAAATACGTGGCAGTTTTTAAAGCATACATCCACATCGATATAGGTAAAGATGAATTACTTAACATGCTCCTAACCATATCCATTAAAGTACGATTACGCCTTTCTGACACACCATTTTGTTGTGGTGTACCTGGTATTGTGTATTGAGCACAAATACCACGTTTTTCAAGGAACTTAGCAAATGGACCTAGATGTTGTCCACTTTCATCATATCTTCCATAATACTCACCACCTCTATCTGATCTGACAATTTTCACCTTTCTGTCTAATTGCCTTTCCACTTCATTTATATAAATTTCTAAGGCATTCACTGCTTGAGACTTCTCATGCAGTAAATAGACATATCCATAACGTGAAAAATCATCAATAAAAGTGATAAAGTACTTTTCTTTATTGAAAGAGTTTACATCAAAAGGTCCACATATATCAGTGTGTATTATTTCAAGAAGCTGAGTGCTTCTTGTGGCTCCTTTCTTTGTGTGTTTTGTTTGTTTGCCTTTAATACAATCCATACATATATTTAGATTAGTAAAGTCTAACTTTGGAAGAATTTCATTCTTTACTAATCTTTGCATTCTTTCTTTGGAAATATGTCCCAAACGCTTATGCCACAAGTAAGCGGAACATTCATTTACTAAACTACGTTTAGCGCCAACATTATGATGCACGGTCATAAGAGTTTCAGCATATAAATTATCAAGATTCAATTTATATAAACCATCATAAAGTGTACCAGATCCAATCATACAAGTACGCTTATACAAACTGAAACAACCATTCCCAAACCTAAAAGAATATCTAGCAACATCAAGTTTAGACAGAGAAACTAAATTCCTAGAAATACTAGGTACATAAAAAGTATCAAACAGGTCTAAATGAAATCCAGTGTCAAGGATTAAACGATAAGTCCCGACAGCTTCCACTGGAATCTTCACTCTATTCCCCATGAAGACAAACTTCTCATTTGGGTTTATGGTTCGGGTTGAAAGGAATCCCTGCATCATATTAGAAACATGAGTTGTACATCCAGAATCAATCCACCAAGTATTATGTGGAACTTCAGTTAAATTTGATTCAAAACATACATAAGCATTATGCTTACCTTTCTTTTCGAACCAAACTTTACGTTTTGGGCAATTCTTCTGGAAATGCCCAGACTTCTCACAGAAATGACATTTGTCATCTTTCTTCTGGATTTTAGTAGAGGACTCGCCAATCTTTAATGGTCCTTTGCCCTTTCCATGTTTCTTATCAGCTTTCTTTCCAGCTCCCTGATTATTCACATAGTGAATGGAGTGGTTTCCTTGATTCTTTAAGTCTAGTTTCCTCTTGAACTAACATACTGTGCAATTCATGCACATTCCATTTGTCTTTCATGGTGTTATAGTTCATTTGGAAGGGACTATACTCAGACGGTAATGAGTTCAAAATGAACTGCATAAGGAAATTCTCATCCACTGCCATTCCAAGAGACTTAAGTCTTGCTGCAATATTTATCATTTCAATGACATGTTCATGCATAGTACAAGAACCATCAAACTTCATGGTGGTTAAAGTACTCATTAATGTCCCAGCAAGAGACTTATCAGCAGTTTGGGAGCGCTCTTCCACATTTTTCATAAATTGTTTTGCATTATCAGTTTTGGGAAGAGCCGATTTGATATTACTTGCTATACTCATTCACATGAACATTAAGCTCAATCTGTTTGATCTTTCCCAAGCCTTAAAATGGGTTTTCTCTTCATTGCTACTAGTAGCAGTAATAGTAGCAGGCTTATCAACTTGAAAGGCCAAATCAAGATCCAAGACACCTAAGTGAAATTGGACTTGTTTGCTCCAATCAGAGAAATTCAACCCATTAAAAACTGGAACAGACGTAGCATGCGAATGTAAAGATACAGGAACAGATACTGCAATTAACACATGTCTAACATTAACACTTTGAGTCATAAATTAATCATACAATACAGATTCAAATAACAAACAAACATTCTATACATATTAATGTTCTTCTTTGGGTGATACACTAATACGCAAAACATAATGATGCTAATAAAATTAACATTATTTGGTAAGACACATGCATTAATTAGAAATACTTATTATCTTTGGATATATAAACAAAACCAATAATGCATACTCACTACCAACAATCATATTCATTATTTAAAAGAACAACTAATCAACCTTTGGGTGATTCATAAATGTCTTATAATAATGAATTTCAATTAACCCATAAACCAATTATCTATAATTTAGCATCTATTCTTTGGGCAATCGAAACATAGTTCTATGAACTCAAGGAACTCACCGTTAACCATCGAACGTGAGAAAGAACAGAAACGAAAGGGCAAAGAGATAGATTGAGAAAGGAGATTAAAGAATTACTCTCATCAGATTTCATGGAAAAAGGTTAGTGTCTCTTGCTATTTCAATGTGCATGTGAGAATTATAAATTCTATGATCCTTATCAAGAAACGTAACATGTGGTATCAGAGCCTGGTTGTTGGATTTATGATTCTCCATAAATGTTTTTTTTTTCAATACCCAATTTTATGAAACCAAAAGGCATGTTGATTCCCTGTGTCACGTTAATTTCAAATTGGATAAAGATAAAATATTGGAATGCTACGAGCATTTGAAGGTTACGAATATTATATTAATATCAATATTGAATGGTCAAAGGCATTCGACATTTGGTGATTTGGGATTTGCCAATCTAATGTTTCAATTACAATTATGAATGCCCCTGTGCGTGAAAGTTTTACATTGAAATTGATTAAAAACGTGAATGCGATTTGATTGCAATTTGAATGCCCTGTCACGTCAATTTGATTTCAATTCGATATTTGGTATTTGTTAAATGCAATTTTTCGCTGTGCTTTCAAAATGCATAAATCAATTATATAATTGTTGCAATTCAATTGTTGGGATTAAACGTATGATAGATTTGTTAATCACCAAAATGATCAAGTCTGTAATTTTATTTAATTCCAAATATAGTTCATCACTAATTTGGAATAAAATTAGTGATGAACTATATTTGGAATTAAATAAAATTACAGACTTGATCATTTTGGTGATTAACAAATCTATCATACGTTTAATCCCAACAATTGAATTGCAACAATTATATAATTGATTTATGCATTTAGAAAGCACAGCGAAAAATTGCATTTAACAAATACCAAATATCGAATTGAAATCAAATTGACGTGACAGGACATTCAAATCGCATTCACGTTTTTAATCAATTTCAATGTAAAACTTTCACGCGCAGGGGCATTCATAATTGAGATTGAAACATTAGATTGGCAAATCCCAAATCACCAAATGTCGAATGCCTTTGACCATTCAATATTGATATTAATATAATATTCGTAACCTTCAAATGCTCGTAGCATTCCAATATTTTATCTTTATCCAATTTGAAATTAACGTGACACAGGGAATCAACATGCCTTTCGGTTTCATAAAATTGGGTATTGGAAAAAACATCATTTATGGAGAATCATAAATCCAACAACCAGGCTCTTATACCACATGTTACGTTTCTTGATAAGGATCATAGAATTTATAATTCTGACATGCACGTTGAAATAGCAAGAGACACTAACCTTTTTCCATGAAATCTGATGAGAGTAATTCTTTAATCTCCTTTCTCAATCTATCTCTTTGCCCTTTCGTTTCTGTTCTTTCTCACGTTCGATGGTTAACGGTGAGTTCCTTGAGATTTTTTTTGGCAGAGATAGAACCCTTATTCTATTAGATCCACTTCCATCAAGTTGGTTTCTTTCAGTTGTAACTTCCCATAATAATTACCAATAGGCCCTTTTATCCATAATTATATTTCACATGAGTCACACTAATTAATTTATTAATTTATTTATTAATTTATTTATTTTTCCAACACACGTCTTTTGTGATTTTCAATAAATTTAGCCAATAAATAAAACTGTATTGGAGAGTATGTTGCTAGCATTTCTCTTGCGCTTTAAGCCTTTAACCAACTCATGAAAGGGCATATGGACTCCTTTATACACTGAAAGACAGGAATTGTGGTTTTCCTAACTGTATAACTTTGGATACTTTCAAGCATAAAAAAAAAAAATCTTGAATTGCTGATAGAAACTGGTTCAAAATAGAGATTGATAGAATAGAAAGGAAATTTTATAGAATACAAACTCCCACACTGGATCAATGGGAATCCAGATTAAAGAGCAAGAATGATATGTACGATGTCTTCTCCTGGAATTTAAGAGCTTGGCCTCCCCCACTCAAATGAAAACTAACTGACCAATTAACTGATTCCTTGACATTTTCTGGCCATATTTATATAAGATCAACTAATTACTATTAACAGCTTTCCTAATGAGGTCTGCCCTTAACTAACAGAGGCTTACTAACAATGGCTGATCTGCTTACTTCCTTGCATGCATCTGATGTAAGCTTCTGTAATTATGGGCATGTTCTGAATAGTTTACCATACATGCAAATTTCAAGGTACTTGAATTGAATGATAGATACCCTGGGTATTAGTTAGTTAGTTACATAGATAACTAGCTTTGTTGATTGAAGAGATAAGGCACATTGCCTATAAATAAAAAGGGAGGTTAAGAGAGAGATCTTGTCATTTGTGAGAGAATTGAATCCTGTGGGGATTAGGTGGTGTAGATCCTCAAATGTTCTATAATGTTTGTGTGTGTTCCATTTCATAATTGGGGAGCTTTTCCCCACACTTTCTAATAAAGATACCAGGTTCCTATGATTGAATTGCAAAATATTTGAAGTAGAGCTTGTGAGGGAGAACAGTCTCAGATTTTATTTAAATGTTTTATGGTTATATTACTTACGAGTGGACTTGCTCCTGTGAATTATTGCAGGCTCCCCTTGTCTCCTCATCTGTTGATGTTGCTGTCTTCTGTCTTTCGTTAATGGGAACCAACTATCAGAGTTACCTTGAAGAATCATGCAGGGTGCTTAAGCCAGGGTTTGTTCTCCTCTCTATAATTTAAGCTTTTCGCTGGACATTGCTTCACTACTCAGGATCTAATTTAGTATAGTTTTCAACAGTGGCTGGCTTTTGATAGCAGAAGTAAAGAGCAGGTTTGATCCAAATACTGGAGGAGCAGACCCTGATAAGTTTTCAAGTGCTATTTCTGAGCTAGGTTTCAACTCTGTAAAAAAGGTATGGAAATGTCTCATTTCAATACCAAAATAATCGGAGTTGGGTTGTGCTAACGATATTTACTTAATGCAGGACTTCTCAAATAAAATGTTTATTTTGTTTTACTTCACAAAAAAGGTATGCAGCTGATGGCAGTAAATATGATTTCATTTTCCTCATTTGTTATTTATATTTGCAGCATATGTTTTGATGCTCATAACTGAATTAGCTTACTCTTCTATGTATAGGAAAAGCATATTTCTAAAAGGAAGGAAATTGAATGGCCAATGCTTAAACCTTGTCTGTACAAGCGTCGTTGAGATTATGTTTTTTTTTTTTTTTTTTTTTGGGGGGGGGGGGTGTCACTCAATTGTTATCTAGAGAACAGTTAAATCCTTTTCTTTTCTTTTTCGTGTTAGCATGGCCAGCTAATCACAAAAGTTGTTGAGAAACATGGTTGAATTATAAGAGTAGAAAATTATAGAGAAAATAGATTATTCAAATCTCTATAATTGTTAGAATGAAATGTGGCGAGTACAAATGTGTTCATGTAATGATTTATATACAAGAGGTAATTCTAACTAACCATAGTTACTAACTCCGAACTAATAATTGTCTCTAACACTTCCTGTAAGCTGGAAGTTGCATACAAGTATTTATAGCTTGAGATGACTAATACAAAGTAAAATAGAATGAGTAATTAAGAAAGAACACTTACACAATGAAAAATTCATAATCACATTAGCAAAATAGAATGAGAATGTGTTTAGCCACCATAAAAGGTAGAAGTTATAATAGCAATGACTTAAATTAATTTTCTTTGTACTTTTTGTGCAAGAATCCATCGAGTAAGATCATATCACGTGTAGTGTGAACAAAAGGCGAAGGCATTATAATATCACCAAATAAAATCTTCAGAACATCGACTGTATGATATGAAAATATCTTGACCATTAGTCCCTTTGGAGAGCTGCTTCATATTGCACAAGACGCAAATTGAATCAACGCAAACTTCATGCCATAGACAAGAATGAGAATGCTTGCGGTACCACACTTCAGCAGGCAAGCAAGTAGAAGCATCATTAGATACACGCCATGATCAGGACAAAATAGCAATACCCTTAGTAGGGTCCACAAATGGATGCTCCAAGAACATCATTAACAATCATAGTCAAAGGCGAAGTGAAATGGATCTAAGATAGAAACCAAGAATAGTTGCAAAGATTTAATACAAGTCTTCAAATACATATCCAAAATCATTATTCCCCGGAAGCTTTGACACCAATCAACATTGAAAGAGGGTTCTATATCATGGAGGAATCAAGAAAGTAGCAGTCTTTTTTATGAAATTCAAAAGAAATGACGGGAAAATGAAGAAAATGAAAGTGAATGAAAGGAAATCAATGAGCTCTCGGATCTCTGTAGCAGTGGAATAGAGTTTGCTTTCATGGTGAGTACCATGGCTCCAATAGCATGATAAGAAACATCGTTAAGCCATAAGAGAAGAGAAAATAGATTAATCAAATCTCTATTATTGATAGAATGAAAAGAGGTTAGTACAATGTGTTAGTGTAATGATTTATATGGTAATCCTAACAAACTCCTACTAATAACTATTTTTTCCAACTTCTCAACCATATCCAACCAAAGTTATTGTAGTATTTATTTCCTTTACCTTATTTCATTTCTTTGATTTAAAATGTGTCGTGAGTTTCCTTGATTACAAAATACACTACACCCTATCAAATATCTAATCAGGTGACTTCACATAAAAATATGTTTCGCCTTTGGATATGGATGCTTTTGTACAAAAAGAAAGAAAGAAAAAGAAAAATTTGTGCAGTTTGTGAATAATCTTATTGGGTAGAAAGCGATAAATACTTCATTTACTTCCACGCTGATAACACCCGAAACGAAATTTACAGCCACTCAACCAGTTCCAATGCATTGGGATCGTAAAACTCAACTTCCAACGTGTAAACCAATCGACTTGAAGTAAGACCATGTGTATGAGAATCACAAGCATTGCGCCAATTTTGCATTGGTCATGTAGATACGCAACCTGTGTTTTTAAAATTTTGCATTGACAATTGAGAATCCAATTTCATTAATAACTATCCAGAAAATATTAAAATGAGAAATGAATTGCATCAATCAATTCAATTATCATGTACCTTTAAGTTCTCTGAAATTTTGAAATGCGCTATTCAAAGACAGCTCTGTCTGCTTTAGGTAAAATACGAATACTGGCCACACATTTTCTCAAAATTTGACAGTGACACTACAAAAAAATCACGATATGAAAAGAGAAAGTAACAAGACAACTTAATCATAAGTAAACATAATAAAAATAGTACGAAAGAGGTAAAGATGAAAATTATAACTTCAAATCCAACCAGATATATATCTTCCTGCATTTTCCACATGACTAGTTAAACTGTACAATTCAACAAGAAATGTACAAAGGTAACCATGCAGAAGCTAGAAGATGGTACATCATTATTCAGTGTCTTCCTCGTCGTCACCATCTTCAACATTCCCAACATCATCTCCAATGCCTTCAAGTACTTTGTCCACATCCTCCCCCAACTCAAGCAATCTAGCACTAAGTCTATCAACCTTGCTCTGTTCTTGCCCTAGACAAACTAGCAGCTTCTTCAGCTTTTATTGCCTCAGCATCTACGGATGTTGCAGGCCCTCCACTCTTCAGCGATTTCACCTCCTTCTCCAGTTGTATGTTAGATTGTTCAATACTATTGCAGGCAGCAGAAAGACTCCTTAAATCAGCTTCCATCTTTTCAGATAAATTCTGGTACTTCTTTGCCTCAGATTCAACTTTAGCCTTTTCTGCCTTAAGCATCTCCAACCTTCGAGATGCTTCTTGGAGATCTGTACTGAGAACATTGATTTGGATCTGAGCTCCCACTCACTCTTTGCTCAGACTGGAAAATTACTACCCCCACCTGTCCTAGCCAGGTCCCCAGCCAAAGTAGCATTTCGTACAAGGAGGTCCTGAAATGAAAAGAATAAAATACATGCTAACATTTGCCAAACTTATTTAACAGTGATATTTGCACACTCCAGAGACTCCTTAACATACTCTTATTCTTTTGTCGAGATCTATGTCAAATTCATGGAATAAACCAGTATTGCCAATGGTGAATGGCAAGCCCAAAGAGGCAAGCCAAAAATCCACCATGGGTGAACCGTGAAGGATGGTGGCCAAGATTTTTTTAAAATGCTTACTCCTGTAGAACAAAAATAAAAGTCTAACAACTTATGTAAAGAACAATAAACATAAAAAAAAAACTTTTAGTAAAACTCATCAGAAGTATAACAAATTCAAATAAAGACAGTAGCAAAAGAAAAATGTAAATCACAGAATTTCACTTGTTCAAGTACACAAAACAGCTATTTGTTCACAAGTGGGTTGATAACAAATTTACACAATCAATCAGTTGGCTACCCTTGAGAGACAAGGGGAAAAACCAAGAATCAAAGATGAGTAACAAGCACAAGAGAGCCAGAAATAATGACACGGGATACATGAAATTATGCAGAAATAGAAAGATAGATGCAAGAGTCAGGAGATGCAAGGATTTTGTCAAACTGCAGTCTAATGTCTATTTTTTAAATATTTAGACACAAATTTTCCAAAAATACTAAAATACTTTTCCTAAGCAAGGTGAAGACATGGGATGAAGATGAGGGCAGATTAGAAAATTTTCATCTTTAGCCTTAACTCAGGTTAGAATATAGGAGAGGAAACTGAGATTGTAGAAAATCAATTTGGTTTTATGCCAAAAAGATTTACAGCAGAAGCTATATATCTTTTATGAAAAATGATGAAAAAATATTGCTACAAAGAAGAACTTACACATGATTTTTATTAACTTGGAAAAGACATATAATCAGGTACCAAGAGAAGTGCTATGGAAGGCTATAGAGAAGAAAAAAGTTTGTGAAGCATATATTCAATCTATACAAGATAGAATAGGTTTACATCAAGGCTCCACTTTGATCCTTTACTTGTTTAATTTAGTCTTAGATGTGCTTACAAATGACACAAAAAATTATCCCTCAATGCATGTTCCTTGCAGATGATATAGTGTTGGTTGAAAATTTGAAATAAGAGGTTAATGCTAAACTTGAGTTATGGAGGAGACTTTAGAATTTAAGGGTTTTTGGTTAGCAAAAATCAAGATGAAGATCATGGTTGAAAGTTTAAATTGGAGATGATATTATATCATAAGTTTCTAGCTTCAGAGGAGTTTATTATACAAAATAATGAAAAAATTAATGAAAATCTTACACACAAAATATTAGCTAGGTGGTTAAAGTAGAGAAAGGTATCAAGAGTTATATGTGATCATACAACACCTATCAAGCTGAAAGGAAAGGTTTAGCGTAATGCAATATGACTAGCTATCATTTATGGTAGTGAATGTTGGCCCTTAAGACTTTGTTTGGGAGTTAGTGTTTAGAGGAAAAGGGAAGACTTATGTGATGGTTATCCATATTTGGAAGATTTTAAATAGAGGCCAAGGGTTTATACACCTTTAAAAACCCATCTAATCTCATGTTTTTAAATTCCCCTAATTTAGAGGGTTTCGTATTAACGCCCAAATAAAGCATAAAGGAACATAAGTAGACACATGAGAAAGGACATGATACAAAATAAAAGTATAATTGTAGTAGCACCTATAATGGAAAAATGACTGAAAATCATCGAGGGTGATTCGGCCATGTATAAAGAAGACCTTTGACAGTACTAGCAAGGAGAGTGGATCCGGTAAAGGGGTCAAAGAAGACCCAGAGAATCTTAGACGAAGTTATTAAAAGAAGGCTGTTGATTATTAGATTTCAAAAAGTTTGGTTTTTGACCAGCTCAATGGCGTCGTGTGATTCATGTTGTCTACCTCACCTAGTAAGAAAAAACTTTGTTGTTGTTGTTGTTGTTGTTATAATGACTAGTCATCCCTCATTATGGCAGCCATCACACCCATTCGGCCATGAAATTTTGGTGGCAGGTTACTTTCAACAGGGTTATCATATACCTGTCAAAATAGTAACATAATAATGTACTATCACTCAATAATGGATTAAAGCTTTTTCCTAATGGATTGAAGAACCAGGCAAAACAAGCCTGGATTGCGATAACAATCTGACAAAAGATACCGACAGTAAAGCAGAGTACCTAAAAGAAACAGATTCAAGACTAATACTCACTAGAATATTTTAGAAAGAACAAATAATTTAAATTAGTACCTGTATCTCAGAGCACTGCTTCTCAAGAAAAGTTTTCAGCCTCCTTATGTACTAACCATCATTTTCACCATTCTTCTCCACTGACACTTTGATTTTAGGATGACTATACACCTCCACAATTTGTTCCCTGATGCCTACCTCCAGTCCTTTGACAAGATTCACAAAATAAGAATCCAACATTGAAGACAGAATAGGATGGTCCATTTTTTTCTGTTCAGGCAAATCATTTTCGTCTAAATCTGCAGTATCTTCCATGCTAGCTGCTGAAGATCTAGAGAATGATTTATTGTTCAGAGATGAATCCACATTGGCAAAATCAAAACTTTTCTGCAGCTCATCTAACTTCATAAAGTATGAACTAAGCCCAATTTTCTGACTCATGATATCAACAATAGCAAAAGCATCCATTGCACTATCAGTGATTTTATTATAGATCACACATTCAACCAAGAGAACTGCAGCCAAACCCCTTATGCACACTGTTTCTGGTAAGGTGGGGACGAGCATCTAGGAAACAGTGCACTGCACCTGGGCAATCTGCTAGCCATGTAACCAGTAATTTTAAGATAATTGCTTGAATAAATGAGTTTTCTGATGATCTAGACTTTCCATCTTTGCTTTTCATGGAAGAGGCAAGGGCCAAATATTTCGCCATTCGATGCATTAGTGGCTCTGGAGCTCCTAAGGATGACACGGGTGCCTCGATTTCAATTGGTAAAACCTGCAGCTTTTCTCATAAGATTTCTCTGAACACAACCAAATTTCTTGTTTATCCTTTCTTTAATATCACTGACAATACTCCCATCATATATCTATGTTGAAGGACTCTAAACAATGTGTACAAATGAAGAATAAAATGATCAGAGCAGTTTGAGGCATGACTAAAAGAAAAGAAAGAACACACAGTGTATGCTGTATATATGAAAAAAATATCTTACATTGCATAAATATGAAAACTAAATACACAAAGTTCTCTTACAAAGGAAAACCTATGGATAATTGTGTTAGAAGCCATGGAAAACTATCATCTGCTGTGTTCAGATTAACTCCTTTTAACAAATGAAAAAGAACCTACAATTTTATAAAATATAAGGAAAATATGACAGCGTAAGGTATGCCTCATGAAACATTCATACATATAAATTAGATACACTTTCATCAAGTAACACCAGTGTCCAATGGCAGGGTCACACATGCTCCACTTTGGAAAATGGTTCACTGATTTTGGCCTTGGTTTGGTCGGTTTGTTTCTAAGTTCACGTTGCTTACTTGGCTGCATCGAATTCCAATTTAATTTGATCCTTCCTAAGGCTTCTGTTCATTCACTTGGCTGAACTCCATGCATATTGAATTGAATTTCTCTTGACTGACACTTATTTCCTTAGGCCCTTAAGTTGATGCCTTCTTAGACATAGGCTTGGTTCCTAAGTGAATGTTCAAGCTAATTTACACTTGGTTTACAATTGCCTTGGCTTTCACGTGGACAAAGCCTTGGCTTACAATAGTTGTTTAAAAGTCCAAAGTTGAAGCAAGCTGTGCGCCTGAGGTTGACCCAAAGGGATAAGTTTCTTATTGTTCAGCTATGGTAGAAAAAAGAATTTGGATTTACAGGAAAAACTAAATTGATAGAAGTTTTCCAAAAAGAATAATATCATTTGTGGTACTATAGACTAGAATTCTATTCTTGTTATAACTTAACATGCCATCAGCATGATTCTTTTATAACAAGGTCTCAGTCATAAAACAAAAATGACTAAAGCCTCCCCAACAGAGTTCAGCAGCGAAGGCAAAACTGATAGTCATAAAGCTAAGAGTATGTTTCAAGTTTTCCAAAATCATTCCCGGGAATATGAACTTGGGAATATTGCATTCCCATGTTTGTTATAAGTTTTTTCAGAAAAATAAAATAAAATCAAGGCATAATTTGTAAAAAATATTATTCACATTTTGCTAGGTTTTCATTCCCATTGGGAAAAGCGAGAATATATCATTCATGTGGGATTGTTGGAAGTTAACATATATTCCAATTGTAACCTTTATTTTTCCTTCTATTATTTGAATTTTAAAAAACATTCCTGGGAATATTAAATCACAACCAAACATGCTTTTTATAGTTTATCCTAGAAACACTATAAGCAGAAATGTTATTTCTAGGAATTGAATAACATACAATAGAATAAATGCCACCTAAGAATAAATGAAGTGAGAATTCTTAACATACCCTTTCCTTGCAATGGAGATTGTCTTTCAATACATGAGACAGAACACTAGCAGCCCTGCCACAAACCTAAATTTTCAAGAAAATGTTAGCGTGATAGTTCTCACACAATAATCAACCAATCAAGAAAATATTGACTTCCATTGTACTGGTGCAAAGATTAAAGGCCAAAGTTATATTAATGTTGATTATATTAGTTATTTTTTTATAAGATTGTATGGTTATCACATTATTAGTAACTGCTAGGATTATATCTAGCTGTTACTCTGGCAATCTGTTCGGTTTAGCATTTATATAATTGTAATCCTTTGAGTGAATAGTGTCAAATAATACAGAACTCCAGTTCAATTTGAACAACTAATAATGCCGTCATCATCTCAGCTGGCATTAGCATGCAAAACAAAAATAAAATGAATAAAACAAGCATCACAAACCTCAAGATCACCATCATTTTCACTCTAAGTAAGACCATGTAATAGCATGCTGAAAGAGAAACAATTTACAATCAGAATTTATTAAAGATAGCATTCAGAAAAAAAGAGAGAATTTAGACATGCATGAACAAGGATCTGTTATATAAAATCTAACATTAGCTACAGGTAAGAAAAAAATTCAGTTATTAAAACACTAGCAACAAAACAAACCTTCCAAAAGACATACTGACATCCTCCTCAAGGGGTGCATGATTCATGGAATATGGCTGTGGAATTAGTGTAGATGCCAGCATTGATTGTCCATCAGCATTTTTCTGGTTTAAATTATTTTAATAAATATTGTGACAAGGAATTTTTTAAAGAATGAAATTGATAAAAAAAAATGAAGCAAGCATTTACCAACCTCACAAAAGCTTTTAAAAACAAAATCAGCTGCAATGAATTCTTGCACGCTAGAAGTCCTCAAAATGATTCTAAGTATAGAGTTCAGAGCCGGTTCAACTTGTGGCCCCTCTCCAAGAAACATACTACAAAGAACATCACAATTCTTTGCATCTCCAGCAATCAGATCACCAATGCATCTCAATGCCTAACAAGGGAAGGGATCAAGTTTATAGCAGCAGATAACCGAAGGTGCATTTTCATACTTTTGATAAATAGAAAAGGGTTTTACAAGCTACGTACTAAGCATTTCAGAACCACAAAGAAAAAAACATAACAATGAATCTGAACAACAGTAATGCCATAAATAATGAAGGTGCTCTTTTGAAATGTATGTACATCAAAGCAAAGCAGTTTTATTGAACAGTGATAAGTTTGCAAATCAGTTACACTCCTAAGT